TGCTATAACTTCATGAGGTGTAGGTAATGGCACCGTGGTCCAGGAGCTCATAATATAAAACCAGAGGCCCATCGGCCGCCCGCCAGCCCAGCCCACACAGACATTGCACTGGTATTCAAGTGTCTGAGCTTTGGATATATAGGAAGAATTATCATTTTGCAAGGACCCATAGAAACTTAATATGACAATGTGTTTGATACTAGAAGTTAGCTAAATCTTTGAGGAACATGGGAATCTAATAAGTAGAATAATTCCTGTGAAACATATATGAGACTGCCAGGTAAGACTTGAATGTGTCTGAATAAAGACTACGGGTAAAAGTAGACAGAGGGGAGTAATTGATTTTCAACTCTTCACAATCCATACCATTCACACCACTGATGTAATAAAAACAGTCCAAACATTGTCCAGATTCTGCTGACAGGCAAATTGTGTTTACCATTTTTGTCGAAGTCGGTGCGAAAAGGACCAAAAAATGTGCTGCTTCTTCAAAAACCAATATATGAAACCCCTGGATTACAGCAACATAATCCTAAAACATTGCACTTTAAGGTGTAACAATCGATTCCAAGTGGAAAGGATTAAATTGCGTTATCTCATTGTCTGTAACCCATTGTTTTGTTAGTTGTCACTCACCCTTGGCAGCCAGCCAGCAGAAAACAAAGCCAGAAAAGAGAGGAGAGTGTCTCTGTTACAGGATTGTCTGAAAGTTACAGTGTAGATACCTCCATGAATTCAAAGGTGCTTTGACACACTTCCTTTTTTGATTCTTCAAAATCATTTTTTCAAATCCTAGATTTGAAGATTACTTTGCTAACTGAGCAAGATAAATAATAACATTCAAAATTGAAACATACTGTACATTATAGGCTTGAATAAAAAAGGAGCAATCTGTGTCGACTAAGGACTGTCACAGTTAATGCAACCTCACTTGTCTTTCCTGGTTTCCTGAGTGGACTGAAAGACACAGCCTATTTGAATAATCAGTTTGGTCATTGACAGACACGCACCCTGATTGAGCCACACATCTCATTTCCAATGTTGGCCCCTGTTTATTTATTTGCTATATGTCTGAACTTGCCCGTCTTGATGTTGTTGTGTTGTAAGTGAGTCAGAAAGGGGCCCTTAATTTAATCAGTGGGCTCTCCTGTTGGATTGAGACTATCCCACAAATCTATAGTACTACACAGACTGGGGAGGAGGACAATTCCATTAGTGGACAGTGACTGGGTGGGGGGCAGATAGGGCTGCAGATAGGGTTCCCTCCTTGCTTCAGTACCACTTGGCTGAGTGATGCTAGCCAGTTTAGTCTGAAGTTTTATAGAGCTAATCAGCACTATATGGACAATCAGTTGGAATACATCTGTCTCTCAAGTAAAGTGGTCGACTTATAGCAATGTCTTGTTAACAGGACCTAAGTATACTTTTCTCTTAGGGATATTTATTATGCAACAAAGCTGGGAAGATGATTATTCACTCTGTATGAGTTTGTTTTAGTGGTTCATATTGTTTTGACTCTCTTAATTCTGGGTCAAATCCCATTTCACTTTTTCCCATACTCCTACATTTTGCTCAATTGTGCAAGAGGTTAATGTGTATTCCAGTCCTTCAATTCTTTTTATGTAGGAAAAGAACGAAAGAAATAGCTGCGCTTTCAAACAAAATTGCTTTCAAAAGCAGACTTTAAGCAAAGGGTTGCAAACGAAGTTGGCAACAAAACTCACAGATGTATTTTGCTGGTGAAAATATTTCATTTTAACAACCACCTCTAGTTGGATGCTTTTCAATATTTATATTTTACTGACACGCGTTGGTGTTATTGTTGATTTTCTCTTATAAGCATTAAAATATATAAGTTGCATGTTGTAGTCTAGGCTAGTGGCCCAGTTAAATATCAACATATGGACATATTTATGTATCTGTTTTCGTAAAAGGAACCTGTAATAGCTGATGGCATATCAACTTGTTGGAGCAGTGTCTCATTTCATCGTGGAATACTTAAAGCACTACTATTCGTGACAGAGGCTAGCTGTAGGGAAAACATCAGGAAATTAGATTTAGCCTTGGTTTTATTTCAAAATAAGCAGGATTTGATATTTTGACTTATCTCTAGTCTTTTATATAACCTCTGATGATGTGACTGTGTAAACTCAGCATTTACTCTAGTGAATATAGGGAATACTAAAATATGATGGACAAAACTTTGTCCTAAATTCAAATCAGATTTTTTTTCCCCTTCATTTACATGTGAGCACTGATAAAGTATAGAACGTGAACCGTGTCTAGTGTACATGCTATTTGGAGTCGCTCCCAGCTCGTAGTTGGATTTAGTTTACATTTTTTCAGCCAACCCTTAAAAACCAAGGTCAAATGAGTGAGACAGACTTGGCCAGGCTTTGGTAAAGCCTGTGATGAAAGCCCACCACTCTTGTTTTTATTGTCCACTCTCCATCAGGCGGAGTGTTGTGGGAACTCTAGTAAGTTGTGGCTGCTGTTTGATCACACTGTGGTAGTCTGACCTGTCACTAAGTGGTGGCAAACATGGCCCACACACAGAGCAGTGAGCATCTAGGAACCTGTGTGTGTGTGTGTGTGTGTGTGTGTGTGTGTGTGTGTGTGTGTGTGTGTGTGTGNTGTGTGTGTGTGTGTGTGTGTGTGTGTGTGTGTGTGTGTGTGTGTGTGTTTCCCACACACAGCGCCACATACCTCATCAGAGAAGGCAGGTCACAACATGTTAGCGTGTCGAGGATTCATAATGGCCATTTAGCCTTCAACAGCTAATATCAGCACTGTTGATTTACAAGGAATTGGGTTGTTCCATCTCTGAACTCAGGAGCTGCTTTAGTCAAACCTGTTTGATATTATCTTATATGAACACCCCACATATCCTCAAATGTAAAATATATGTCTATATAGATGTATGTTACAAAATAAAGCAATGTCATAAAATCTAAATCCTAAAGCTGTTCCATATTGGCTTTAATCTCTGGATAAACCTGTTTGTAGCTGGTTGAATAGCAATGGTTCTGGTAACCAGCTGTTTGCAGCCAGGCAGAGTGACAGGATCTGTAGGGACACGCGGAAACTTTTGAGGACCACGACAGAAGCACGGTGACAAGTAATGATGACGCCCTCCCTCACGCATGTGTTCCTAAACTGCATAGGACAGCACCCTCAGCAACACGACAAGGCAGAGATCATGCACCATGCTAGGCTAATAGCCACGAAATGCTCTGCTGAAGTCAGCTTTGATAGAAGCTCGGTTCTGTGATCACTGCTGATAGGGAAACATTGTGACTCGTGCCTGTCAGAATGCATATAAGGAAATGGCATCTTGGCCCCTAAGTAGTTTCTGAATCCTGCCTTGAAAAACGAAAAAAAAAAAAGTTTTAAGGTTTGACAAACAAAAGGTCGTAATGACTTAAGATGGATGATGTGCAGGATTTGACCTCAGATTCAACTTCAAAACGAATTGTTGAGAAGCATCACTCGAGTGCTAATGGAGTCTTTGTTTGGTGTTTGTTCCATCTATTTGTTGCACAGGCAAAGTGTACACAACATGTGCATGAAGGTTTGACTGGACACACACGTACAAATATTTCACTTTGGACTCTTAAAGCTTAGTTCTTTACAGAAAAAAACATGCACACTTTACTTGCCTTTGTGACCAACTGGAGACCAGAGAGACATTGACATGACCCAGATAATCGGCCCAAAGTCTTGCCTCCACAATTTGATCAATTTGCAGTTTCCTCACAATTGCAGGCGCAGGGCTGTCCCCCGCAGCTACTCTCTTAGCCCCCCCACCCCGACGCTCAGCCATGCAGACACATCCCTGCTCGCCACAGCAAGATGCTCTGCCTTTCTCCCCTTTTCCCCCCAAATCACTGCTAAGCCTGCCTGATGCCTGCTGCCGGGACACAAACGTGCTCTTGCTCCTGTCATCTCTTAGCAAGCACAGACAGGAGGGAAAAAAGCTGACAGTTTGTCTTGTACCATATGCCACGTGGCAGCAATGCCTAACTGATATGGCCAGAGTTTGGGCCACTGCCAAAGGCTCTTTTTTCCCCCTATCTCTTTTTTTTCTTCTATCTTGCATGTGTGTTCATCTAGAGAGGAAATGTTGAATAAAATCACTGTTCAGCTGTCAGCAGGGTGGATTTAGTGCCTAGGTCCAAAGAGCTGGATTGAATGTTATTTTATTTTTTTAATATTTTTGGAAGTTCCCATGTCTGGTCTGTGGATGCTACTGTTTTACCAAAGGGATTTGCTGTGGTGAGAGGTTCCCAAAAGATTTTTTCTTTTCTCAGGAGTTAAAAAAAGGAACAACTCCCTCTTTCTCTCTGCCTGAAGAAATGTTAGTTTTCCATGAAGCCTCTCAATCATGCATTTACCTTTGGGGTCTTTCTACACACAATACCAGGGTTGGAATTTCAGCAATGCTGTCAGTTTGAAATTGACTTGTGCAGTTTAGGCTTAGTGAAAGCAAATTTGTTGTCCGTGATGTTTTTAACTCTTGAGATAGCCCTGCTTTGATCACTTTTTTCACAGTAGAAAGACAGGTCAAATATCCCCAGGCTAGCTACAAATTTCAGAAAATTAGGGATTTGCTTACAGCCAGAAGGTGTAAAAGACATACATGTTTGTTTAAGCTGAACTCTGTTTTGTACAGGGGGGAAATGTTTTCTTTTAAAAAAGGGAAATACAGATAATTTTGTCATTTAATCATTTAAAAACACTGAATTCCTGCGAATACCATTTTTGTACTTTCTAACTTTTCAAACAGTTTAAATGTATTTTATAACTTTAATAAAAAGCTCAAATTTACTGTAGTTTAACAATTGTTTCATGTTAAAAATATTCAAAAGCATTTTGTGCCTGTGGATTATTAGAAAAAGGGAAATTAATATTTGTTGTCTAAAATTTGTTTTGATTTTGCAGACTTAAAAATCTTTGAAACCCTTTTTATCATCAAAAATTGCAGACTACAATAAACTTTGTTAGTTTTGTTTTGTTTTTTTAATTGTGAAAATGTTTTGTCTTTGAAACGTGATTAAAGATGCATCAGTCTAAAAACAAATTTCACTTTAAAGACAAATGACAACTGTGTTACCATAATACACTTTTTTTGTCACATTTTCATCCAAGATATAGGCCTCAAAACACTTCTGTTACAGGTGAAAACTAAATATTTTCTCTAAATGTGTCAGATATTTAACTTGAAAATTTTCGCATGCATCAAAAGGGGAACATGGCTGTCAGTCACCTCTTCTGCAACGAGTCATTCTCGTCACTCCAGCCAAACCTGAAATTAGGACATAACAGCCACCATTTTTGCTCCGATGCTTTCATTTCCACCTTCACCGAGGCCATTGTGGAAAAGTGGGAGGAAACTCGGAGCTGATGAAAAAAGTGACAGGTGAGTGACAGATGCCTTCAGGACCAAGAGGTGGGAGAGGTTGGTGATGGCGGAGGCACGTTAGCCAGCGAGGAGCAAAGCAGCGCCACAGGTGAGAAGGTGCCAAACAAGACGGCTGACGCACCATTGATGGCCCTGGCGGGCAGAGGTGACACAGGTGAGAGACGAAGTGGGGCGGTGGAGGGGGAGGGGGAAGGGGGTCCAGGCTCTTCACAGCTGCTTCTTTGCCCCTGTCAAACAAATTTACACAAAAAAGCCCTCTGAGAACATGCTTTTTGTTTTTGCAAACATGCTCTTGTTTCAATAAATGGATGAAGCTTATCGTGGCAAAGGAAAGTGTGTTTTTCAAAATTGTTTATTTTATTTTATTTTTTAGATTCTTTTAAAGACTTTAAATGCACAACATTGATACGCCAATATTTAAAAAATAGTTTTATTTGCATCAGACCTTTGACATTTAAGTTTAAACATACTGTGATTTTTTTAAACAACTTACTGGGATCTGCTACTTTCCTTTTTTTTACCTCTCCGTACCCGTTCTTACTCCCACAAATTCATAACATGTTCCTGGTGAAATCACTGACCGTGTCACTCTCTCCTACTCTCCTAAATCTTTTTTTTTTCTTTTCTACACCCATCCTAATTGAATTTTATGTTCATTTGACTGCAGATAACCCGAACATTTGGCGGTGGATTCGAGCAGTAATCCGGAACCAGCACAACTGTCTGGCATCAGTGTGACCAGAATGAGTAAAGACATTATTTTGGCTCCACCAAAAATTTTCAGTGCTGTTGTTGACCTGTTATGATAATATGATGCATGAATAATATCATATTTTCTCCTGTCAGAAAGCATCAGGATCAACATCATGACAGCAAGGCAAAGTTATACATGAACATAAGAGAGAGTGAAGAAATGAAAATATTTAGTGAAATCAGCTTACTATTTTTTGTATTTTTGCAATAACTGAAGATATTTTAAAATACAGTTACACAGAAATCTCTTGTGTTTTAGTTTAGAGCTTTTAAAGACATAAAAGATAATAAAAAGCCTAACAAGTGTTGGCACATCAGCAAAACGCACATTAAGCGGGACCTCAGCCATTAGATTTATCTGAACAAGAAGGAATTCTGAAGACAATGTAGCTTGAGTCAAGAACTGTTTGGCATTCAATTTTATCACTTTAAGAAGAGTTCAAATCATGTTATCTTTCTAAATTTCTTCAAATAAACAAAGCATTGGCTTCTCTTATTTTGTTTTTATAATTAAAATCCACCTATTTATTCAACATTTTATTATTTTTTGAGTATTTTGTAATGGTGGTCAGCAGTCGTTCAGTCGTGTGTTAAAAAAAACAATTGAACGTTTTTGATGTCTGGACCAATCACTGCACAGTTACATAAAAAGGTTTCTAGAAACAAGATATTAATAATTGCATGTGCCTGATAAAATATAAAGCAGAATATTCAGTAAAATTTGGCTAAAATATTGTTTTGTTGTAATGCTGTTTATTCTTTCATCTTTTTTTCCCTACGTTCATAAAATGATTAGTAGAAGGATTTTTTTTTCTAATTTCTGGAAAACAGACCTTTCCCAATTGACATGTAAGTGCAAAAACAGCGAAGTACGATTTTAAAAACTGATTGAAAATATTTTTGCTCTAAAGGAGACCAATTATGGGTCCTTGAAATTTTAATGGTATGTCTGTGGGCTATCCAGACCATGTTCATTCAATTTAATGCACAAAATAATTCTCAGATAATAAAATTTCCCATTTTCTAGTTCTGCCTGGTCTGACTTCTGTTCAGAAGAGCTGTTTATGTTAATGAGCTCTGTTGGTAACGCCCTCCAAAAATCTGTTGACATTAACTCCGCCCACCAAAGCCAGCGTTTATGTTAGCATGGCTAATAATAACAGAAGCTGCGTTGTACAACCATATGAGAGACCCAGAGGCAGAGTCGTGGTCCCAGCTTCTTCTTTTTTTTTCTCCCTCCTCTGCTCTGCGCTCACTCTGCATGCTGTTACCAGAGCAGGGAGCAGCAGCGGTCAAAATACCTCAGAAACTCGAACAAATAGGCTTTAACAAGGCTTTAATAAGCTAAACAATAGAGGTAAATGAGAAAATGTGTTCTTAACGAACGAAAAAAAAAAACTAAATAGTATCCATGCCAGTCTCAAACCCTGGTCTCCCACTCTCTGACTCTACCCATTGTCCTATTGGAGGTTTGTTGTGAAATGAGCTGCGCATTATATAACTACACGGTGATGGCTTTTTATACTGAGGAGGAGGAGTCTCACCCGGGGGTTGCTAGGTAAGGGGCTGAACGCAGGTTCCAGTGGGTTGTTGTATGGCTTGTGACATCACAAAATAACGGAAGTATAAAACTTGTCGTTAATATACATTAAAAATACATTTACTTACAGTAAATATGCCCCTGGGTGCATTTTCTTGGTCCTAGGACTGTTTTTTTAAGAAGTACATACCAAAAGTTGAGTAAAAAAAAAAAACCTTTAAAAAGTGAATTTTGCATAATAGGTCCCCTTTAAAAGAAAAATTCAACCTGTTACGGATTTACTATTGTTTCCAACATGTTAGGAGTACAATAAAAAAGACCTTAAAACTTGATTACACCAGTTTATATTAAATATAAAATTAATTATATTAGATTTGTTGTTTCTGACTATAATGTCTTTTCTTGCTAAAACTTAAATAAATAAATAAATAAATTAGAAGAATACAAACAATAGATTTCATTGAATATCACCTAAAACATAAATGCTTTTTTTTTTCATGCAGATGAATTATAAATTAATCAGAAGTGAGATATTTTATTCAGGGGGTCTCAGCAAGCGGGGCACCCATCTGTCTCACATCTCAGTAGTCAGACATGTCATGTGTGACTGAAATAAAAGAGAAAGAGAGCCTCTCCCAGCCCGCTGCACGAGACTCTTTGCTGCTGCTCAGTGTCACTGCCACTCACCCACCGTTCTGATGTGTTTGCTCCTCTCCACCCCCATTAATGTCACTCTTGGCCGACACGCTGCAAATGGAAGGGCCTTCAAAATAGGGAAAAGGGAAACACTTCATTTATGTTTTAGGCGTACATGGACACCTAAAAGGCAGAACAAGAGTGACATTTTCTCCAATATAAGTAGAATTGCATTAATAGAAATGTCTCAAGTTCTGTTATGAAAGGTTGAGTTTACTCTTTGATGATTGAGTCTCTGACTAAACTTCAGCAGTTGGGATCCAGAAAAGCTAGATTAGGCCCCATGGTCAGTGAATAAAGACATTTCGAGCAGACTGAGTGACAAGGTGCCCGAGAGGTCAGCATTCTAAAGAGGCGACCAATTGGATCATGACCCATGAGGGACAGATATGGGCAAGGGGATTTAGCCTCAAAGGTCGAAGTGGGGTCAAGGAGTGTCTTGCATTCCAGACCCCTAATCCTTTCCCTGCTGTCTGGAACGCTGGTCTTCTCCGGCGCTACACATGTATTCCCACACATGTGTGTGGGCACACATATTCTGAGTGCTTACAAATACTGTACGCAGGCAGGTTGCAGAAAATAAATGAAGAGACTTAGATTAGATGTGTTCAAGTCCACCAGCTCTTTGCCTTAAGCAGAGAAAGTTTGGGCTTTAGATGCCCTCTCAACTCAATTTTCTGACCTTCCACTTAACCAACCACCTCCTGCAGGGCAATCAAGTTGCTCCAATTCTGAGACACCAGAGTGTCAGGGATGTAGGTAATTTGTCAGGGCAACCCAATCTCCACTTTTCTTGCTTATGTGTGTGTCAGCAGCAAAGCATGTGTGTGTGTGTGCACCAGGGGCTTTCTCTGGGAATCTTTCAGACTATGTCGCCAGTGAAGGCAACCCCAGACTGTTCAGTGTCAGCGGTTGTGTAAGCAGTGACCATGCTTGCAGCCATGAATTGGAAGCTGGGGCATCCAGGTCATTGCAATCTGAGCCATCCATCAGTCTGAAGTGAAACACATGCCTTCCAACACTATGCAGCATTTGAGCCCACATCTCCTTAAAAAAGTTACATGTCACGCGCAGAGACGACACACCCGGGGATGGATTTTGGAAGCTGAACTTGTTGACATTTACACCACGGCTTCCCACCATTCTCCCAAAATTTGCAAGCACATTGAGAAAATTGCTCCATTTGTGGTTTGGACTGCGTGTAACACAACAGTTTGTGTGTAGCAAAATCCACCAAGCATGAGCCCTTTAGTGTTTGTGTTGGAGAAGCCCTCCTGCCGGGCCTTCAGTTGTATCCCCACCCCACTTCCTCCCCCCGACTCACTTCCTATCCCACTACACTATACCAAACAGAGCCAAATAAAACACAGGCTAACATAATGTAGCAGCATGTCAGCGGTGGGCCCTGGAGCGAGGCTGAAACATGACCCACTCTGTACCAGCCATTAGGACACGAGTTAAAGCAGCTACGGTTTCTTTCTGGCCATGCAGCCCTTATGTTGCCCAGCGCAGGGCCTGTATGTGTCTGCTCGCAGCAGATTGACTGATGTATCCTGTGTGGCTTTGGTGTGTTTGAAGCAGCAGAAGAAAGTCCCAGAAGGGGACTACTTCTCCCTGGGCCCCCTCAGACCCCTGCACTTCATCAATTTCTCCACTGGGAAAGGCCTGCCACTGGATCTCAAACCCTGTTGGAGCTCACACAGAGAGAAGATAAAAGCAGACAAACCAAATTAAAGACAAACTGAATATATGGTGTCACATTAAAGGGGACATGTTTTGTAAAACCCACTAATTTATTTCATTTGTAAATACTTTTTTGTCCCACTAAAGTCATAAATCACTCTATCAAACTAGAATGGACCACTCCAAGTCAATGAAGCGCCTTGTTTAGATGTGAAGAGACAGCGTCAAAACAGGTTGATCTGAGACACGCCACAGAAATGTGGTGAAAGAGGGGCTTGTGGAGTTACATTCAGACCAAAGCAATGAAGTTCCAATTCATATAGACCCCAACTGAATGGTTTAAATGCGAAAATGAAGGATTTAAAAGCACACGTTTCTTTTAAGAAAAAAATAATGTTCAAATTATTCTAATATATTATTTATTTTTCATGTACATTTTGAGTGTTATTATGATTGAAGACACAGTATGTTCAGAGTCCTGCAGACATATGTGGTGTTAATTTTCCTACTGTCAGTGGGAGGACCTGTAACGTGTGAAAGGGCGAGAGGAGCAGA